TTATTTTTAAATTGATAGTTAAATTAATTCGCGAGAAAAAGTGAATAATTGCGCTGACTGGAACATCGACTAAGGACCAATTAATTGTAATTCATCTCGACCAGAGTAAAAGAAATCATCTGTTGGTAACGTTTAAATTGTTGTTATAATTTTTCAATAATTTTCGTTCAATAAAGTTTTGTTATTGTTTTTATATAAATCACACATTTTTACTTTCTCTATCGAAGATCCCCTCATCCCTGTCTATTGGTCGAAAGGCTAGGACTAAAAAGAGGAACTTAAAGTCTCTAAGGTTAAGCATATGGTTTACATATTGACACCTTTAAAGAGCAAAATTACATAACACAATTATGAATGGACACGTGCAAAAGAGTACAAAGAATTATATAAGTTATGGTATCGTTATACGGATCAAAACCAAAGTAAGTTACAATTCTTCATAAATTGAATATATAAAATACATATAAAATGGTAATGGAACAATTTTTGAATTTCTTACAGTATTAGTAGTACAAAATGAATCAAATGAAAAAGGTCCATCAGAAGATAGGAACACTACAGTATTAGAAGAAGTTTTACCACTTATTGATAATGTCTCAGATAACAACTATATTGTACTATACGAAGGAGGGGCTAGTCAAGATAACTTTGAATTCAATGATTTACTCACATTAAACTGTAAACATACAAGTGATCATACTTTGTTAAATAAACAGTTCTCTTCAAATCCCTCTCTTGCCACGAGCATTATAACTACACAAACTTCAAATGAGAGTCATGAAAATCAGTCTTATAAAAATTTAAATCATAATAACATGATCAATAGTGCTGAAATTTTTGAACAAGATGGAATGGATGCAAATAAAGAAAGCAAGATTCCTGAACAGGTATTTCTAAGTATCAACACTCAAAGTAATAAAATATTTGTGATAAAAATAGCTGAAATCAAATAGCATATAGATATATTTCATCGTGTATGGACAAACATAAATTCATAATATCACAGTGTAAATTAATTTTTTAAAATTAGGTAGTTCCTATTTGTGCAGAAAATCAAGTTGCCCCTTCAGATTTAAGTCTATTTTGTAAAAAAAGTAATGATAACCCTTTTACCGTCATAAATGGATTAGAGAAAGCTGATAGTTCTAATACAAGTGATAATTTATCAAATACACTTATTTCATCTAAAGATGAGAAAAAAGGTTGGTAAAGTTAATATAACATTATAAATTTTAACACAACAAACTTGTCAACTAATAATCCTTACAGATGTTGACAAAATTTTTGGGAATGAAATTGGAGACTATCTTTTTTATCCAGAATCGAAGAAAAAGGATTCTAAAAAAAAATTTCAAAAAAGAAGAATTACCACCTACGATTACTAGCCTTAAATGGAGGGAATGGAATGAGAAGCAAATTAAAATAAAAGAAGAAAAAGAAATGAAACAAAAATGATTAAACAAGAGCAGGGAAAAGTCAAAAAAGAATTACAAGCTAATTTAAATAAGATTAAACTTATTAAGGCGTCATTACAACAAGAATTGACAGAAATTCAGTTCAAAATTTAAAAAAATAAATCAGAATTAAAGCTACTCGAGCTAAAGCGAAAAAATAACAATTTACCATTAGAATATTCTGAATCTAAGGTATTACTTGACGAAATTGGTAATTTAAAAACTGCAATCCAAAATGATTTGAAACGAAAACTAGAACTTCAAGAACGTAAAGAAATATATATTGAAGAAGAAAAAAAAATTAAAAAGGAATTTGAATCTGATACTAAGTCTGTAAAAAACAAATTATCATTGACTTCATGTTAACGTTTTATTTAGTCTAAATTTTATTTTGCTTCAATTTCTATTGTTAGTACAGATAATTCTGTGTATTTAATAATTAGTGAATGTTTAACATAATTAATATAAAATAAATAAATATTAAAGATTAAATAAATAAATTAATATTAATATAAAATATTTTGTTTGTATAAATTTTATAATAAAAACTAAATTTTGTTTATTTATGCGTTTTTCTTCAATATCATCTATGATAATCGATAATTAGGTCTAATTTTATCGATAATAGATTCAGCCTGTTCGACGCCTATCGATAAATACTCCCCAAGTAGAGTTTAACAAAACAATTATTTTTTTAAAATATATAATATTGTTCAAAACTAAAAATATTGGATGAATTTTTACATTTGTCTTAACATAATTAATGCTTTATATGCACATATTTTTTAAATTAAATAAGATTTTATCCATATTATATGTACAAAAATCCTTAATCTATCGATAACTGGGTCAAGTACCTTAGTCATATGTGACTAATTCCATCCATCTAGACGTCATAACACTGTCACATTGGACCTCATCTTTCGTTTTGAATATTCAATGAAATTCGTTTACTTCAAAAAGATGAAGAAATCATAATCTGGAACATCTAAAGTCATACACGCTCATTTAGCATTTCTCAATCTACTGCAACTTCTGTCTGTTTTACTTCCGTATTCAAATCGGTGCGATACACGCATAAGCTAATTTATTTATACATTTTTTTTTATTTAACAGGTTTTCAACTTGTATTTAACCAGTTTTCAATTCCTATTTGACCGTGTTTATCTTGTTAAATCCTTAATATTTTTCTTATATATAACCGGGATCTAACCAAGCTTTAACCGCGTATATTCAGTCAAATACTAGAATTATTTTTATTACAAAAATTATAAAAGTCAGAACAAATTTTAATGACAAAAATTTAGAGCATGAATTATTCGATTTAGATCACTCAAATAAATATAAATCAAGTACATGAGTAGGAAAGAATGTAATGAAAATTTTACAAGAACGATTTAGGTCCAAATTTAGGAACAAAATGATAATGATTTATAACGAGAGCCGTAGTTCGAGAGAATACTTTTCCAGGGGTATCCAAAAACCTCCAAGAATCGGTGAAGTCCTGATCTGAATGTATGGTTGGTACTCAGTCCCCAACAACACCACAAGATCAAACCCAAAAGAGATTTTGGATCCAAAAATTCCAAAGGTGTGAAGAAGTACAGTCTGGTAGCCGTGTATCCAGGCCAACGTCCGGAAACCAAGAGATCGTTAGCTGCATTTTGCAAATAAATGTGGTGTCATGAGCATGACCCCACTCCCAATTAGAATACTTCGGATGACCTTGGGCGAGCGCAGGGTAATTGAAATAATATAAATAGGGCACGGGTCCCTAGTGCACTACAGACCAGATAAACAATGTAACGCTTCAGTATTGAACTGTGCACTCTATTTTTTTTTTCTCCTTCTAGAGCTAAAGTCCTCTCTGAATGTACATCTAATTGAAAACCACTTTGATCGGAATTATGTATGTTATCTAAACCATGTAATTAAATTTTCGAGTTTACATCGTTAACGAACACTTATAATGTTTGTTTCAATATTTTACAATCTTCAATCGTTTTTGATGATATGAATTTGTTAGTTTTACGAGAAACAATACGATAAGCTCTTTTAACTGATAGTATCCACATTGAAGATGCTTGAAAACGAAGATCATCAAATTGTGAATTTTTTTAAATCGGAATCATAGACTATCATCCAGTGTTGGAAATTTTTAATGGTGAAACAATGCATTACTTATTATTTTTATAATTCGTAATCCAAAATATTAGATTTGAGATTAAAAAATTAACCCGTTCTGCAAAGAATTGAGATTGAAGTTCAGAAAAAAATCCATAATAATAAAAATTGAAAAAAAAATTTCAATGAAAATTATCAGAATTAAAATTAATAAATGAATCCGCACTATAAATGATTGGGATAAAAATTAAAAAATTAACCCGCAATGCAAAAAATTCCAATTAAAGTTAAAAAACAAGTCTGTAATGAAAATAATTGAAAGTAAAATTTAAAAAAAAAATCACAATAATTTCCATCAAAATTCAAATTGAAGAAATAATCTATAATCAAAAAACCAGCCATCAAAATGATAAAAGCAATCTAACTAACTATATCTATACTAATCGTTACGAAATTTTGCGGACAGGTGGAAGGGGTCATTAGGAGTGCTATAGACTATTTTTTGTCTAATTATTTTGTTTATAACAATTGAATTTATTATAAACAATTAAAAATAAGATCTATTCGATGGATTTTAGTTTTTCCAACGGAAAACGGCTGCTATGTTAAAAGTAACGTCACTTACCATCGGGCATAAGCCAAATCAGACTCGAATCGTTTATAACAATTGAATTTGTTATAAACAATCGAAAATGAGATCTTTTTGACGGATACAAGTTTTTTCGACAAAAAACATTTTTTTTACTAATATAACGTCACAAAAAACTACAATTAGTGATAACAATTGGATTTATGATGAATAAACGAAAACAGAATCAATTCAACAGATTTGAAGTTTTTTAATGGGAAATCGTTTTTTTGATGGAGGTAACATCACCAACAATCGGGCATAATCAAATGTAAACCATCAAAAACCAAGTTTGTACAATAAATTTGAGTTTATGAAACGGAAAATCTTTCTTCCTACTAAAATAACGTCACTAACGATGTAATATGGACTTTCAAGAACTTAATTAGTTCATTATTCCTTATAAATAACCGAAAACGCGATCTATACAATGAATTTGAGTTCTTCGAGCGAAAATCAGTAATATGTATGGTGTGATAAATGATTGAGAATTTACACTTGCGACTTATTGTAATGGAATGGTAGGAAACAATTTATTTACAACAACGTGGATAAATGTGCAGGTTCAGGGTAGTCCGTAATAAAAATTATTAAGATTGAGAGTAGAAAAAAATTTCTAATGAAAATAACAAGGATCAATATTGAAATAAATAATTAAATATAAATTTATTTACATTAAATGAAATGCACAAAAAAGACATATAGATTTAAAAATAGAAAAAAATAATAATTTTAATGAAATAAATACTTATTTACGTTAGATATATTTTTTTTGCAATTAGCCTATGCTCATATTCACTGCTCAAAATGTTCATCGGTTAGACGATCATACTTTGGTAAGTGCAACATTGTTGCATTACTAAAAAGCCTCTCTACTGGTGCTGACGATGGCAAAGGAGTATTATATTTTAGAAAAATTTTTCTAACTGACGGATATTTTTCCAACGAATCTAATCCTTTTTCATTACTCTTTAAATAACGAGTGACTTAAGAAGTAATTTGACCTTGAGATGATGATGGTTGGAAACTGTCAATTGTTGAAGATGGATCGCCAAATTCATGATCGTCATCTGAATCTTTATTAGTATTATCTATTAAGGTACCAGAATTCGTACCTTCAATCGATGCTTCTTCCGATACTGCATCCAAAAAGCGCTTGCGAATATTCAATTGTATCTCTTTCTCAAATGTAGGAAGCCAGCGACCTTTAAATCGTGGGTGAGAAATAGCTGCATCGATGTTCGTTTTTTAAAAATTAAGTAAACTTTCAAAATGCTTATCAATACTTTTAATCATAGCCCTTATTATAGGTTTACAATGAACAATTTTCTTATTCAGTTGCAACTTCTTTACTTTGTTTTTCAGAGATATTCTTTCAGGAATTAGCATGCCGTAATAACATTCATCAGCCTGCAGACGATCAATAGCATTCGCCAATGGAGTTCAGCATCGAAAGAATTCTTCCAAGTAATAAAAATCTATTTTAGTTAAGGGATTTTTCAATTGATTGAAACTATTATCTATTAATTTCTTCTTGACGCTTATCAGTTGTTGTAAGCAATCGTAGGTTGAGTTCCAGCGAGTTATAACTGGTCGTTTCAATGAAATTTTCAATTCAGATTTAAGCATCTCATTATTCTTTGGTGAACGTAACAACCTCCATAAACACGAACACTTATCCATAAGTTTATCGTGTTTCCGCTTTAGAGATGAATCGAGATCCATAGCTTTTAAAATGTCCTTTGAGGCGATCAAATTAAGAGTGTGACTCGCACACCTTATGTGTCCAGGTAGTTTGTATCTGTTACTGAAATCTTCATCAGGCTCAATTAAATGAGCAACATCAAAAGTTTCATCAAAAATACTATCATCGAAATTATTAGTATCATCATCATCTTCATAATCGATATTTTCTTTTTCTTCATCTATAAAAGTGAAGAAAATTGTATTCAAAATGATGATTAACACCAGGTAAGAATTAATGTTAAATTGGGTTTAACTGTACATTAGAATCTAATAATAAAATTGATATCAACTAATAAATATATAATAAATAATTTTTCACAAAGAAAAAAAAGTAAATGTCAATGTGTAACAATACTGATTATGACATAAATATTAAATAGTTTGCGATAAGTGTATCCCAAATGTCTCACTCACCTAATAAATATCTTGACTCTTTGATACCAAACTCTCTAAACGCTTTAACAAAATTGGAACCGTTATCTGTTACTGTGGCTTTTATTGATTCTGTTGACAAGTTAAATGTCGTATGAATAGTTGATAGATGATTTGCAATGGCTTCGAAAGTATGTAAACCAGGGAACCGTTTGCACGCTATAGCTGCTCTTTGTAATGTTTCGGGATGTATCTATTCGAGGACGATAAAAATATTTTTTTTATTAAAAAATTCAGAAAAATGAATAATTCAAGAAAATTAAATCACACATGATTAACGAAACGTTTTCAAAAGTTTGTGTCTGTATAATGATTATTTACAATACTTGTAGTAGGTTCAAAGAATTTATGTTTTCATCTCAATACAAATTGTTCAACAATCTTTGTCTATATAAAAAAATAAACTAATTAAAAATTTTAACGTTCTTTACCCAACTAACTGTAACACCTAAATATCTCAAATCAAATGAAAAAATTGTTAGAAGAACTCAATCAACTGTTCATTCAATTTCTGTATTAAACGAACTGACATTCAAAAGAATAATTAGGGAAATAGTATTAAAGGGACATTCGATTCGAAGGTTTTGTTTTTTAAGACCTCATGAATCAGAAATACAATTTTTCTGAACAAAACATAATTTAGTTAACAAACTTCATGATATAGTGATTACAAAAAATTCGCAGTTGATGAATGATTGTTTATCGTGGCCTTTTTTCTATCTATTTCTCCTATCTTATCACATAACACAAATAATGTACTAAAATCGTAAAAAAAAACTCAAGGTTGAAAATAGTTAAAAAATGAATATCGTTACGTACCATCGAAAATAGCAGCATAAATTTCAACACAACATTGCGAATATTCTCTTCGAATGTTTTTTGATTGAAAACACAAGACCAATGTTTCTTATTCTCGGTATACTCACTTTTCAATGTTTGTCGTTTTTCTTTCGAATATTCTTTGTATTGTGCATGGATATCTGGATGTTTTTTCTCTAAAAGAAGGCGAATTACAAGAGTCATCATTATAATAAATATATTAATAGTATTATTATAGTACGATAAATCACGAATAACAAGCTCGTCATTCGTGTCAAGTACACATCTCGAATGACTCAAAACATTGTTTTTGTTTTACTTTGAAAAATTGTGTAATAACTCGAATTAAATGTTTTAAATTGTTTAATTTCTTCAACTAATAGCATATCAACTATAAAAAAAAACGAAAGATTGTCAATAATAAAAAAGGTGAGATTTATTTCTCCATCAATGATCAAATATTTACTTTAGTTGATGCATTGTTCTGATTTTATTAGACTTTAAAATTATTACTTACAACAAGACACCATCTGCTTTTTTAAAAAAATTCTATGTTCATAGAACATGAGTGTACTTTTAAAATATTTCTCGTAGAACTAGTAGTTTATTTTATAGATTGAAAAAAGCTATTACTTATCTACATTCAAATTTCATAAATAAAACAAAAACGAGCCAAAAAAACTCTTTTTATATTTAACATAAAATTGTAAAATTAATCCATGTAAAAAATGTATATTCTTTGATGGAAGATATAACTAAAATGTGGTTTGATGAATCAATTGAAATATTAAATAGATAAACTCATTGATATTTGCATTATTAAAAACTAAGTCGTGACAAGTACATGCGGAAATGATGTATTATAGTTCTTTCGTTTTTTTATTATTGCAACATAAAATTTAGTCAACTCATCAACTAGTAATTTTACAAATAACAATCCAATATTAACACTAGTAATGTTTTGATTCTATTAGAACTCAATATTTTACACATAAAATATCATCAGAGCTTGAATTATTTCCCCCTTGGGATTTGTATTTCCAGAATCTAGATTGTTGTTAGGTGTTGATAAATTGCATTCTAATTTTTTTTATTTTATTTTTTGAAGCAAAGGTACAAAGGAAACTTTTCTACTGTTGCAGAAAATAATATTAAAGAAATCAAATGTTTTTCAATTTAAATAATATCCCAATACTTGAACAAGAGTGATATCAATGAAATATTTTATTGAGTGATCACAAAGCTCTTGAGGTAGTTAATAACTTTATAAAAAATTAATTATTTTCCAAAATAAAAATACAATTCAATGAGATTATTTTATTTAATATGTTTACTAAATTCAAACAGTTTTATAGTGTAAGTTTCATGCATATAGAAATAAAAATCTTCATTTTTATGATAACTGTGATCACATGAAGTCCAAAGTTTAAATTGTTCTTATCATCAACTTCATTAAACTCCTGGCATTTACTCTAAGAATATTATTTGAACATTCTTTCTTAATGTTGACGACAAAGAAAAAGTCTTTATAGCATGACTGACAATAGAAATTCTATTTAATAATACTCCTCTATTTGAAGACATTTGAATTGACTAATTACTTCAATTATTCATTTGTCGAAAAACAGACATTAATTGCATTAAAGTAAAATAGAAATCGTAAAAATCGTACTAAGAAAGTGCATCAATAGATGTGAAATATATTGATAAAAAATTCAACAAAAAAATTAATTATTAGAAAAAAAATTTTTTTTAATCAATTCAAAATCTTGCAAAGCTTTTTTTTCAACTATCAATCAAAATAAGAAAAGTTTACTCAACTTTGTCGAAATCTTGGCGTTTTCTGTAATTTCACTAATTTTTGTTTAAAAATACCTTAATTCAATTGTTTATTGAAACAAACTTAATTAAGTCTTACCCTGAGATGTGTTGTAAAATTTGATGTTGTTTGCAGACACCCTTTAATAATTTTTTCTGGCTCACAGAAGTTACATGTAGCTAAAATACTTCCGGTTAAACTTGACTTATCAATGATAACTGTATAATATTTCCCATCTAATGAAGCTGATTTTTTTATTGCAATTAACAATTTTTTGGTTTCATTTTCACTATCTTCAACATCATCATTATCTTCATGTCCATCACTCTCATTATCTTCAGCATCATCACTATCTTTATTTTCATCACTCTCATCATCTTCACTATTTCTATTATCTTCGCTATAGTAAAATTATAAAAATAATTTATAATTAAAATAATTTGAATTAAAGTTACAAAAATACTGTGTAATAAAAATAATCGGGGTTAAAATTTTCGAAATAATTTGTAATGGATCTCTAATGCATTACAAAAAGCAATGCATTATTCACAACACTGCTATCATCCCAGCATCGATAGCAGTTTTAAAATTTTCCAACGTATATTTGCAAATTTGAACTATTTTTTCTCTGTAAGTTCCACCTTGGTTTAATTGATGTACTCAGCGTTTTAATTGTCAAGTAGACTTTTTCAAATTTTTGCTTAACACTATCGATACTTCTCTTACCACTCCCTCAAAACTCGACTACTCGCAATTTATAATCATGACTTAGCTCTCTTATCAATAGTACATGCTCCATCAGACACTTTTGGTTCATGGATTGCAGATCCATATTCTTCGTCTTTTATAATGTCTAGTTTCCAATCCTTATATTGTTCTTGAAAATGTAATGCATTCTCTTCTATCATTTCGATATTAGTATACCCATTCATTGCGTTCAAAAATATCTGGTTAAAGTGATTCTTCAATTGTATTTCAGCATCATTTACAGGTGTCTCCATAATTTTCATAGTTTGAAATGTTGTTAAAAGTACCTGAATAACATTAATGGGGTTAATTTTTATTATCAACTATTGAATGTTACACAATTTTTAAAATAAAAATTAATAATATTTCTCTTTCGATCACACGATTTTATACGCACATAAAATTATGACTATTAATCAAAATTAAAGTAAATGCAAAATGCAAAAATATCCATTTACTACAGTATCAAAGATGAATACGAAAAAATAATGTTACAATTTTTTAAATGATCAAAATATGTCACACTCGTTCAAAATGCTAGCATTGAATAATCCGTACATTACAATTACAGAAATAATTTTCCTCCAAAAATTTATAATCCAAGATGTAATTAGAATTCGTTAGACCATTTTAAACACTGATACTTTTATATCATTTAACTGTTTTCGTTATTGAGCTATTTTTTATAAGATAAAGATTCAGCTCAATTAACTTGGATAAGGACAAGGGCTGTCGGTTCCATCAAAAAATACTTTTTAGTTTTTGAGTTATAGATTTTTTGTCATGCATTTTTTCGAAAAAAAGGAATAGTTTTGTTAGGCATCGATTTTGTTGGATCAGGTATTAAAACATCACTCGCAGTTACTTGCAGTCA